TGTTCCTGTAGAATCACGAATTGATCAGATTTACCACTGCATAGAGATATCAGTAGTGACACAGATTATTTCCATTTAGGCAAATACTCCGTGTTTCATTTTGCTTGCCTTTAAAGCATTCAGGACATAGCATAACATAAAGATGACATTTCTATAATGACTATAATGACTCCACAAAACAGGGTAGATTCTGCCTAAAATTTGAGACAAAACATGATAACCTATATTTTAGACAACCAATGGGTTAACCATGCAGCTTCACCCAAAGTACTGTCTCATACATTTTGCTAAACTGTCTAAATCCCGGTGTACTATTGATTTCTCCCCCGTGAGCTCACACACATTCAATAAGCAGCAAGAAGCCCTGGTCCTAGCTGAATTCCCTCCAAAGCTGGATCCAGGTATTTACTCCTGACAGTGGTCCTACAGTGGGTGCTGATTGTTACCTAGTGGGAAACAAACCACTGGAGACAGAAAGGAAATTTCATCTTGAAGACAGAAAAATGATGGGGAAAGATGCCTGTGAGGTTAAATGGAAAAGCAGATTATAAGAAACATGCATGTTATGATCTTATTTAGTAACATACAGCATAACTAAGAACCAAAACCTGCCCCAAGCCCTACTATATACATATATATGTGTATAGTAACAGAAACAAAATCTGGAAGGATAGGTAATATATATGAACAGTGTTTTTTTTCCTGGGTAATGGGATGTTGGTTGGTCTTTTTTTCCTTGTCTACATTCTCTGAATTTTTCACAAGTATATATTAATTTAATATTTGGAAAAAGACCTGGGAAGGAGTAAAAATACAACAATTTTATGAGAACTTAAGGAAAATTACTCTGTGCCTTTAAAATAGGGAGATTTTTAAAGTTCTTCCAGGATTTCTTGAAAGACTCTCTTTTCTGTTTACTAAGCATTTAAAAAACCCGGCATTGAGATTTATGAAAGGATGAGGATAGCACGCATAATCCCAAGACTGCAGAACCATTAAGAGTAATGAAAAGATACAAGCAGATCTACAAAAAGAAAACGAACCATCCAAGCAGCATGTTTGGAAGGTCAGCTGCCCGTGTGGCTGAGACTGCAGGAGCAGGGGGTGGCTGCTTGGAGGACAGGGAAGAGCTCAGATCCCTCAGAAGGTGCTCTAGAACTTCAGCACTTTTAAACAAGGCCACCCATTTGTTTTCCTAATGCTTGACTCAAGATTTCTCACAGAATATTCACTAAACTATTCACAAATGTGCATACATATAAAATATTTATTTGGGTTTGCTGCCAAGTCAACAAATCTTCCCCCGCCCACACACCATTATCTTGAGACTGACTCAAGATAAGACAATCACAGGGCTGGCAGCTCAAAGAAATAAAATTCTTATTATGGCACAGTATCACTGCCTCTTGGTCTGGTTTAGTCACTTATTTCCTTTTATTATAATGCCAAATGCTATTTAGGTTTCAGTCATTTAGTAATGCTACACTGAACACATCAGGGCTTCTGAAAAATTCCTTACCTACTAGTCCTTTCATTTTCATAATAACCATATAGCCATATCCCTCTTCCAACCAAATTACACCAGTATGTAAAAAGGAATATGTGCTTTATCAGAGTTTAAAAGATTATGATGCAATGAACAACAGTCTTCAAAAATGTTCCTTCATGTTATTAAGAATTAGGAAATCTTGTTAAAATTCTTTCAGCTTTTAAGAAACATAAGCAGCTTTGGGATGTAGTGCCTGACATGAACTTTTTAAGTAATTCCCTTGGAGCGATCATCTGCATTAGTGAAGATATTTCATTCAAGGTAGTACCCTCTGCTGCTTTTCAGTATTTGAGCAGTCAATCTAATTGCTTTTTTAAGCCAAGATTGAAAAGACCAATACTGCAGACTTCTAAGGCTAAGATAGCTTGACTTTCTCTAATGGTGAGAGCTATCCTCGCCATCTAGGAAGAGAGCCCTTTCTTATGCAATGTAGCTAAGAGCCTCACTTGTTAGAGGACACTTCGATTTTGCTAGTTGGGATGGCTAAAGGAAGGCCAAACAAATTTATAGAACCTCTCAACTATATTTCAGTGTTAAATGATAGCGTAATTCTATAGGAAAGAAGGGTGAGAAGAGTTGAAGGAGTATTCCACTTTGAGAAGCACAGGCATTATATCTCTGTTATCCAGAATGAAGAACAGGCGAGGACTGAGTTCCTGTAGTCCTCCTAGCCTTGGTTTATGCATGCTAGTGCTTTATAGAAGACAAGGAATTTATCAGAGTTCTTACACTAGAATATTTATTTTTGTTTGCTGTTTTGACAATAGCCCAGGATACCCTAGCAGAACCAGTTTATAGGCTGTGGACTTTTTTTTTTCTCTCAAAGTCTCCTCCAAGTGACAAATCACCCTTGACATGGATTCAGAGGGACATCAAGCTCCATATGAGTGGACAGGGTGGCCTGGCTTCCAGTAGGACCTAATTCAACCTTAGGGTTCATTGACAGAAGTA